GTTTTAGGACATGCTTTGATTTTAGAGATGTTAAAATGTGAAAAGCAGTATATCTTAGAACCGATAAACTATGGCTTTTAAACAGGGCTGGCGGTTTACTCTGAATGTCATGCAATAATAAGGCCTGGAGTAGACCAAGTGGTAGCCTTGAATTTGATCATCCTTTGGACATTTTTCCTCTGTCTTTTCTAAGGTTCACTGCTGGGCAGGTTTGGGAATAACCCCAATGCCGGAGGCTCCTTAGATCACCCCGTCACCCCATCACTCTTCATTCTAACACGATTTCTTTGTGAAACTAAGTTGACTCTCCCCCTCCCAGCATGTTTCCACTTGGTAATGCCCATCTCACTCACAATTAACCATTCGGTGTCTCCCCTCTTTACCTGGGTGCCCCATGAGGACAGTAAAGGGGTCTGGCTGGCTCAGTGCTTAAGGGCAGGGACAGACCAAATATCTGGTGTATTAATCCATGGTCACCGCCTGTCCCTGCAGACAGCTAAAGGTAATCTAGAAGTTTCATAGGAGGGAAGCCCCTGCATTAAAGCTTACCCAAGGCAAACAGTGCCTTTCCATAAGCCATTGCTTAGGATCATAGGGCCTATCCCAGTGAGCCAAGCAATGGCTTCCGGCCACCAGGCTCTGCGGTTGCCTCAGGAAAGCAGAACTGACTCCAAACCACAGCATGTTCATTTCCAAGTCACCTGGGTAGCTCTTCCAGGACCTTTCCCAGGGTCCCTTTTCCTGCAGAGACCAAAACTCCATTCTAAGGCTTCTGAGCTAGATCAGTGTCCCAGGGCTGCTGGCATGGCCTGTGGCCCAGGCTCTCCTCTCACAGGGCGCGTGCAGGACAAAGCAGGCTGCAGCGAGTCCGCAAAGGACACCCTCAAACCTGTTGGCAGGGCCACCAGCAGGAGGCTAAAGACAAATGCTTCAGTTCCTTATGTGCAAGGCTCTATCTACCTACACAGACGGTTTCCCCCAAACGTACTGCCTCTCAACAGTTAAGTGCATCTTAGCATTTGCCTGAGAAATTTGAAAACAATTCCCAAACCCAGGCTGCCGCCAGACCAATTATATGGGAATCCCTGGGGAGGAGCCTGCATCAGCAGTTTTTAAAGTTCTTCCCGTGACTCCCGTGAGCAGCCAGGGTGGAGCATGGTGTCTTTTTTCCTTCTGCTTTGTTGTTAGACACAATGTATAAACAAAAAACAGCAGAGATCCTCCTCAAAAAAAACAGCAAGGAAGGAGGAGGTTCCAGAAACTTTTTTAAAGTACAAGACAGGTTAGTGCCCAGACCAAGGGCGTGGGTGGCAGGCCACAGCCGCAGTCAGACTAAAGGCTCCTCCCTCTCCTCAGAGCCAGGACAGCCCCAAGGAGCATCTGGGCTTCCCCAGAAAGGCTTCCGCCCAGAGATGGGTCTTGCCGCTTCCCCCCTTGGGGAATCGTGTGTACCAGGGTCCTTGCTATGAACCTACAGATGACTTCATTTGGAGCCGTTTCATCAAGTGCAAAGTCAAAGTGGAACGTCGGGGTATCCAGACCCTTTACTAAGTCCACTTCTAACTTGGGCTCATGTAAAAGGGGAGACACTTGCTAGAAACAGAAATCACATCTATGTCTTTCTTGTCCAATCCTTGTTTATTCCACGGGTGTTTCCTAACACAGACGCATATGCTGTGCTCTTCGATAGGATCAGCAGAGTAAGTGGATGACCACCCAAAGCAGCCCGAACATCTTTCATCATCTGGGCAAAGTCCCCGTTTGGAAAGCTGTTGTCATACTCCTGAGCTCGCTTTATTCTCATTTCAGAGTGGGCTTCTTCTCTTCTCGCTCGTTCTTTATCTTCCCCATTGCCTTCACAACACTGAGCTCACAGCCTCTGCACACTGACCTCCTCGCTGACCAGTGTAAATGGCATTTCAGCCCCTGCAGGGCAGGAGTTCCTAGGGGGGCGGTAGCCACTGAACGCTGCTGCGGGGACTTGCAGGGGCAGCTCCACTCCATTCTCCTGAGTGGGGAAGTGAACCACTGAGAGAGTAGACACCGGGGAGCGGCTTCGGAGACCTTCCTCTGGAGCAGGAACTGTGGATTGACTGATGTGCGTGTTTGTTTCGTTACATTCACCTGCCAGGGCAGATTATCCTTCGGGTGTAAGGGAAGACGCTCTAAGAGTTCTGGGTTTATTGCAGCCACATCATCAAAATCAATCTGTTTGCTCTTTGTGGCACCTCCTTCTGTCCACTCCACTGAAACACAGGCTTTCTCCAAGTCCCAGTCCTTTCACTGGCACTCTGACTCAAGCCACGACTGTGTTGGATCTTTTTGTGGAGACAGGAAACAAGTGGGCCTGCAGTGACCAGTCCATCAGGCCATCAGCAGGTGGGCGGGGAAAACACATCAAACGGCAAGAATCTACAACTCTGCTCACCCTCCAAAGTCCTGAGCGTGGACGAACTAAAGGAAGCCACAGGCTTGCCTTGCAGCATTCAGGAGGGAAACCTCTCAGTTTTAAAAACCACGTACAACAGAGCTTTGCAAATATGACTAGTTTTTGTTTTATTTATTTCCTATTTTCCGTAAACAACTTCTAAGCGTTGGCACAACGTTGCCATCTGTAAGGCATATGTCAATAACAGACGGCCGCCTAATAATTAGAAAGTCATTAACGTTTGCCAGCTCTAAATTATTTGGATTCATCTGGTATGATCCACACTGATGAGGCCACTTAGATGCTTGATTTCTGTGTCTTCCGATGGCGGAGCCAGAAGTGGGGAGACCATATTTTCCGAGCTTTGCATTGTTCTCTGTCATCCTACTGAATTGTTACCAGATGGATTTATAACAGATCTGAAGCTGGTATCACAATGAAAATTAGTTCCTGAGTAGAAAAATGGCAATGCAGTTTGACTCGCCTGTAGCAATTGTGTCAGATCTGCCTCTGCAAGGGCGGAAATGACTTCTTAATGTGGTTTTCTTCCACGAAGGAGAATTAAATCTATGTGGCAAGATGTAAAACCAGGGTGCTGGCAGCCAGATTCTGAAGGGAAGATCCATGACCCTCATAAACATATCTGTGGCCTGGTTATATGCTAATGGACCTCATTTAGGGGAAGGCTTCCCCCTGGGTGGAAAGATAGCTCAGCTGCAGAGCTGGGCTATTGTTACTCACTGTTTTCCTTCTGTTGCAAAGTTTGCTCTCAGATAATGGGGCAATTTCTCCATCTGCTGCCAGCTGCCAGGGTGGGGGTCTCTGGGTCAGATTTAGAGTGATTTGGCCATTCACTGAAACAGCAAATCCCACTATTTTCGTTGGTAGAGTTTTTGCTGAGTCAGCAAGATTATTTTAGAAGGAGCGGAATTTTGGGCAAATGCACCTGCTGGGTGGAGCAAGGTGTGTAGAACAGTCTATGTGGGTGGCCCTGGAGTTCCTCAAGGATGGATTAACAGGCAAAATCAGTTGTTGGGAACAACACTGGTGCTTCCACTGCCTCGCTAGGTGATCTCTGACAGGAGAATGCACCCCTGGGGACCTCACCTTCTTCCTTGGCAAGATGAGCTCAATAGTTCCTGCCTTGTATATGGGTTATTGTCAGGATTCAATGAAATGCAAGATGAAATAATACATACCAAAGGCACTGCCCTTCACATCCTAAATACTAACCATCATTGATGCTGTTAAATAATTTGCCTCACTCTCCTCAAATGGCTTAACACAAAATACCACACTGCAGTCTGTGAAGAAGTTATACCTTCAGCATTTTGTGGTGTATAGAGTCTCACACAGGAATAACGGATTTAGTTAATAAAACTGAATTGCAGTAGGACATTAAGGGGAAAATTGAGCTGTTCAAATGGAGAGTTCTGAGAACAGCCCCTCTCTCTGATAGAATGGAAATGTTATCCACTCTATATGTAAATCTGAGACATATACAAGATATTTTTTAAAGAAACATGGGCATCTGAAGAGGATTTTTAAATGATTCAACTAAGATCAGTAGTTAATATTTTGATGTTTCCTAATTTAATTTTTTACTGTTTACCTGCTTGAAGCCTCTTTTAATAGACATACTCTTATTTCTCACTCTGTACTTATGGCCCTCGTATTAGTACCGTAAATGTGCTTGGGCTATTTTGGTTCACTGAACAAAACTGCTCAAAGCTCGTATAGAGAGGCTAAGGCACAGAAAGTGGTAGGTAAATCCAGGCCAGATGAGAGGAATGATAATGGCAGGCAGCAAGCTCCATGCCTGGTAAGTGAAATGAATGAATGAATGATGAGGGCTGAAAAAGAAAATTAGCATCTTGTGGGGGTTATACATGGCAGGATGCCCCCTCAATCTGTGACTCCTACACCCAATCCCGGCAGACAGTTCCCAGCAGAGAACAGGCCCTCCTGTGTTAGGCAAAGAGGCAGGGTGTGAGCGAACCTCAGCATAATGCTTGCCAATTCCAAAGAAATAACCCGAGGGCTGGCTGTCAAAGACGTGGGTGGATTAGGATTTACGGGCGCGATGCGCCGGCGGTGGCCAGCCAGGGAGATTTTCCACAACCCAGGCCTTTTCAGCACAAGGTTATACAGAGCACAGAAAACAGGGCATGCTGCGGGAGGGGGCCTGCTTGCACATAAGCGGTGTGAGACCGAAATGCTAGCTAGCTGTTTCTCTGTCGTTTCTTGACTGAGGAGCTGGCCAGTCCACTTACTGATGGCCCTCATCGTGTTCCCCGAGGGCGAGAGGGGAGGTGGAGCATGGGAAGGGGCCCATGTTCTCACACACCAAACAGCAGCCTAATATGGTTATTCTATTGCAAATGCTGGAAATGTGATTTTATACATGAAACCACCCCATATTCAAATTTTGGCAACCAAGGCAATGAAAAGACACACACCCACATCTCCCAGCCTATGATTTGCAATTCTGTTCAGTTGCCCCGAAGTACTTGTTCAAGGAGAGCTCCAGGATCCATTAGAGCTAATTCTGTGTTTTGTTTTTTTTCCAAAGCTCCAGACACATGACAAAGAGGGAGCGGACTCCCCAGCCCTGTGGAGATCAGAGGAGGAAATGGCCGCAGAAGCCGCAGCGCTGCGGGCCTACTTTCAGTGGCAGGTAAAGGCACCACCTCCTCCCCACAGAGACCCTCCAAGGGCCTCAGGAAAGGGGCTCCCTGTGCAGGTTGGGGATGTAGAAGAGCAGCTGCACCAACATTCTAGGCTGGTGGCTGCAAAAGACAGAGAAGCCAGAGTAAGGAAAACCCGGGTTCCTAAGGCCTAAGCCATCCTGTGAGTCCCCTCTCCTGTCTCTTCTCTTCCTGCCAGCCCACCCTCACCTCTCTCCTGCTTCCTCCTCTCTGATCCTGCTCTTCTCCAATCCAGTTTTCACAAAGCAGCCCAAGATAGTTTGTAACTCTAACCTGATCGTCTAAGATAGCGGTTCTCAACCTGGGGGTCGAAGGACCCTTTCACAGGGGTCGCCTAAGACTATCGGAAAACACATATATAATTACATACTGTTTTTGTGATTAATCACTATGCTTTAACTATATTCAATTTGTAAATATAAATATATCCTGCATATCGGATATTTACATTACGATTCATAACAGTAGCAAAATTAGTTATGAAGTAGCAACAAAAATAATTTTATGGTTGGGGGTCACCACAACATGAGGAACTGTATTAAAGGGTCGCGGCATTAGGAAGGTTGAGGACCACTGGTCTAAGAGGTTAAAATCCTTTAAGGGAGTCACAGCATCCTTAGGCTCAAGGCCCACAATTCCCCTGTCCATCTGACAGGTGCTGTGGACCAGCTGTGTCCAGACCAGGTCAGCCACGCCTCTACTCCGGCTGCTGGCTGGTAAATCGCCCTTTGCGTTTCCATGTAGCTTTGGCTGCTTGGAAGCTCAGGCCACAGGGAAAGGCCAAGGTGAGAATGATGTTTTGCATTAATGGTATTTAACCATGAGAAGATCATAGATTTCAGATGCTGGTAGAAATCTATAGCCAAGCTCCTTCTAAGAATGCATATAAACACCAAAATTTTATATAATGTCGAGGGGATCATGGATCTTCTGAAATTAATGACTAAATAGGGTTGTCATGAAATATTGGGATACATACACCTAGATGAAAAAATAATTTGTTGTTTAATCTGACATTGAAATTCAGCTGGACATCCTGTATTCTATCTGCCACCCCTGTTAAACCTCCTTACATTGTTTTTTTGTTCATCTGTTTTCATGTAAATGTGTTTATATTATAACCTGTTGAAATACGTCACGTACTAATTAAATACAATTAGTGGACAAATACTAGTAGCAACTGAATTATATAAAACGGAATCAACCACTTAGTGATCATGAATTTTGGCTAGAAAACGCATTCATTTGTTTCCTTTTTACTCTGTAAAGTAAGCCCTTTTCAGTTAGTTTCAAGTGTATGTGCACTTGATAGCTCCCCCCTTCTCCCCCTTTGAAAGTGTTCTGATTACTGGAAGATGCAGTTTTAACTGCCGCTCCTTCCTTACCATGGGCGTGCTCAGGCCCTTACATTCTAGAAAGCTGATTTCATTCCCCCAGGCCACTGGCTTGTCAGCTCAGCACTCGATTGCCTGGAGGGACAGAGTCTAGTGCTAGCAGAAGCTGTCTTTGATATATCATTCTTACCCGTTCACCTCCTCATTTCTTTCTTTTTAGGATCAAGCTAGTTTACCTAAGAACACAGGCCTAGGGGCATCCTGCCACCCTCCTTCTGTCCTCTTCTGAAAGCGAGTGTGTCATTTTGGAATGTCCGGTCCGAATGGGGGAGCATGCCGCAGAGTCAGCTTCCTGGGCCGGCTTTCCTTCTGTCTGGGTTCCCTGTGTAATGGCAAGAAAGCTCTAGGCTTTCCCCAAGGCTTGCTGCGTGGGAGGGCTTTGTCTTACCATGTGCTCCTAGATACTTCAAGAGGATTAGACTGCTCACCCAAGTTCCCAGTATGCTTTGTCCCTTTTTGCTTCTGTTTTGCCTTGAGGCCTAGCATCTCCTGCCTCCCAGGTGAATCCTGTGCCTTGGAAGTCTCACCAGAAAGGTTGTTACCTTAACTTTTTATACAAGCGATTGCACAGTGTGTGAGTTTTTTAATTAACTAGCATGAACTTCTCTCTTTAAGGGCTTTTGTTTACAGACCAAACAAATCCCCTCCTGTTTTCTGGGCAGTAGGATGGGTGATGAGGGTTGCCCAATAGACACAACTAGTAAACATCATTTCCTGTTGTATAAGGGGACTACATGTCCCTCTCTTTACAGACAGAGGGGAGAGGAACCGTTTTGTTTAGGAAACCTGCTCAGTGAGCTGATCCACCTGGCTCTGTGACACCTACCCCCCTCTTTTGGAAATGCATCTATACACCCAATGTTTATACAGGGTTAAAGAGGTCCTTGAACTTCTGAATCTGTTAATAAATTGGGCTGTCATGCAATGTTTGGACATACCCATACTTTAAAGACTAACATGACTCCAGACCTGCTCCAGCCCCTAGGCCAGTGCTCCCCAGGTCTCTGACCAGGTGCGTGGGGGAGATGAGGCACATGTGGGAAAGCTAGAGTCAGCTTCCCTAGGGAGTAGAGGCCCTCCTGTCCCTGGTGAGAGGACACCAGGCAGGAAGGTCTGCACCATGCCCATTGCCTCCCACGGGGACACTCAATGTCCTGGCTGATTGGATCTGTTTGCAACCACCCCTTCTCCTGGGAGGCCAAGTGTTTAGGGCTTGACCTTAACACTCTCTTTGCCATTAGTCTTCCTTAAGAACACACACATGGCAAAGAAGAATGTGCAAACTATGGCCAGAGATGCCCTAAATAGGAAAATGGACTACAATAGGCAAAGAGCTGCTCTCTGCTGAATGTTTGGTATGGAAATTCCTAGCAAATCATTCAGGCAGTAGCAATCCTGTTCTATATCTTTTTTTTCTCCCAGTTTCCTTTTTTTAACTTGAATGTTATTGTTGACACTATTACTGATGTCCCCATTAACCTCCCCGCTTCCCATCACCATACTGTTTGTTGTCTGTGGCTTATGCATCTGTGTTCTTTGGCGAATCTCTTCACCTTCTGCATGACAGGATTGCCATAGGACCACAAAGATAAACATTCCAATACTATCAACTGTTTCCTCAGCCTCTTGAAGGCATCTACAGTAGGTTAGTTCGGGAGAAGAATTCTCCTGATCCTCCACTACAACCTGCAGGAGGTTTCAGCCTCTTGAAGGCATCTACAGTAGGTTAGTTCTGTAGAATTCTCCTGATCCTCCACTACAACCTGGCCCTTCTCTGTGTCCCTTGCCTAGCAGAAAATTACTTTGAACTGCAGTTTCTTAAACAATAGAGGAAAACAGACCTTGTCTGTGCCATGCAGAGAACAAGCCAGCTATCTAAGAGTTGCTGAATGAAGCTGCTGCAGTTGTCTCACTCTCCACCTGACAGCTCCCTGATGAGGTTGGCAATCCCTTGGTTCCAGGAGCTCACTACCTGCCCTCTGTGTAGGTGAAAGGATGCGCTGCCTCCCCGCACATCGGGCCGAGTGTGGGAGGAGGCCTCTGCCATTGCTCTTTCAGTCTGGGTTCTAAATCACATTGGATGACAGAGGGTCTGCATTCTTTACCTTATCTTATGCCCTTCCTGGATAATCGTTTGTTATTTAGGTACTTAATACTAGGTTTTTCTGCCCCTACAAACCCACATTACATT